GCTTGTTCGTTAGCTGCCAGGTTCTGCTCAAACTCAATACGCAGCATCTCGTACTCTTTGCGCACCTGGGCCAGGGTATCCTCCAGCTGGATGACTTCAGTCCGCAACTTCTTTTGAAGGGACAGCTCATCACTCTGTACAGTTGAAAAAGAGCAAGACGTTGATTTTGTTGCCAAGCAGCAGCAATAATACAAACATAAATTGAACAATAAACACAAAACTGTGGACTGCACCACCGGGCTAAAGTCAAGGAATGTCTCGTTTTCTCTGTTTGTAAAGCTTGTTTGTCTTCATGGGAACAACGTTATACAATTACACAAACATGTCCTCAGAGTTACCTCCATGTGCTCAATCTGTCGGAGGTGGGCGTTCTTTGCAGTGAGCAGGAGGGCACGTGCTTCATCCAGCTGGGTTTTGACCCCGAGCGACTCATTATACAGCAGAGAAAACTGAGACTGCAGACACTTGTACTCTAGAGTCTCTTTCACAACCTCTTCTGGAATATTGCGCAAGTCCATCTGAAAAATTAGGATGTGGATTGAGATGACAGCAAAGACTGAACAGTGGAAATCTGTTACCACATTACCTGAACCCACACTCTGTCATTCATAGATTAAAAGATACTGGTCCCAGGCAATGTAAATTAAGTTCCTGCCTACCAGGTATAAGGACACTTCTATCCTACTCTACCCTCAAAATACTTTATCTTCACCTTGAGCTTTTCGCTCTCCCTCACAGCCTCCTGAAGCTCCACCTGCAGTTTCTCCAACTCTGCCATGCGGCTATTCGCTAACTCCTGGTTGTGCTCCAACTCTGCATTGAGACTCTCAAACTAAGATGAAAACAAAGACACATTACAGGAAGAAGAATGTGCAAAGAACATCTGAAACTCAGTTACATGCAAAGAAATAAACGTTACACAAAACTGATAACACAAAACAAGGAGTGCTTTCTATGAATGCTCACCTTCTGAATGTTCAGTGTAATCTGCCCTCCAGGTAGTCCAACTGAGCTGCCAGTGCTGCTGTATCCAGACTTTAGCTGCAGACAACAAACAGAGCAAATGGTCATAAAAAAAGCAAAGCAAAACAAAACAAAACAAAAAAACCCAACAAAACAACACAGTACACCCATATACATTCAGTTTGCAGTTTGTTAGGTAAAACTAATGCATTCTAAACCAAAACTCCTACAATAAACCCTGATTTAATGAAGACCGGTAAAACAATGCACACATTGACAGCAGGATGTGCATCAATAAGAGCAGCTGGCGTGACACAGTTTGATGCTTAGAATCTTATCGTTGTCAACTCATGTATAGAGAAACAAAAGCCTACGCCTCATGCACAGACACTTCAGAAGAAAGAAGTTGCACACACAGACAGATTCAGTCAAACGCACCTGCTCCATGGCTTCTGCTAGGTGTTTGTTGAGCTTTTGTTCTCTGTTGCGAAGTTTCTCAATGTCCCACTGCAGGTCCTCCACTGTTGTCTCCATCTCAGAGACCTTGGTCTCTGCGCTGGTCACCTTGTCTACCAGCTCATTGTACTGCAGGACAGTAACACGTGACAACAGCTACTTTATCAGTGACATGCATACAATAGTCACAGCCATACAATTTTCCTCATTCACATTTTCTATGTACTTCTCTGACAAACACTCTCATACCCACACACATGCACAAACATTCACCATACACGCCGATGCCCACAAACAGTACCTCCATGGACATCTTGTGGTGTCGGCCCTGCAGGAGAGTGGCCAGGTCTCGCAATCGACAGTTCTCATCCAGCAGAGTGCGGTTCATGTTGACAATGTCAGACTGGCTATCGTCCTCACATGCTGCCAATGAAGATCAAGTTAGCAGTGTCGAATTAGAACAGAGGTGACTGGTGTCAAGAAAACTATGCCGATGTTTATGTACAACAACAATTCAGTAATAGCATTTAAAACTCATTTAGTGGCAAGTAATTAGTTTCAATGTAGGATATAAAAGGTGCTGAAGGTGCTCCTCTTTCTTATTTATACAGTATGTGTATACCAGTGGCTTATTATATACACATGTCAGTTAATAAGCATGTCTGCTTAGTTACCTGCAGCCTGGACCTGCTTGCACATGTCGTCGATGCAGCTGTGCAGCCTGTCAAAGACACAGACTAAGCAGGCGATGGCTTCCTTGCTGAACTGCATGCGGTCCTGGAGGTGCAGGGTGAGCTCCTCCTCACTGCTGTGCTCTAGTGTGGCCAGGAAGCCTTTGGCATTCTCACTCAGGGGAGGAGAGGGTGGCGATGCATCTGCCAACGTTCAAAAATGGTTACACACAGGGCTGGTCAGCAAAATTGGTAATGCTATCATAAACCTCAATTTATTTCTAGAAAAATGGAAAGTGTGTGTCTTGACAAAATTTTTATTGCTTCTGTCACTGACAGCTCAAGCTTGCTGAAACAGAGCATTTTGCAAAAGCTCTCATCATCCAAAAAAGAACCAGGCAAATACAAACAGAAGAGTTTGGATTATGATCCTGATTTGTGATAACATGAATGCTTCAAGAAGAGTCTGCTACAGAACACAAGAGAAGCTTGAACACTGACCTTCATCACAGCTAATTTCTTTTTATGCCTTAAAAAAAATTTTCAGTAATAATTGTTTGTTGTCTGTTCCTTGATTTCCTCTAATTTGTGGGGATACACACCTAATCAATTAAATCAATATCAATAGTTTTGATGTCACTTTCTGGCATTTATGTGCTCTTTTGTTGGCAACTGCTCTTGTGTATAACATTAAAATACCTGGCCATTTGCACAAAATTAGCCACAACAATAACAACTTTACATAAAAGACCATAGACATCGATGCTGTAACTTTTTAAACCCATGTAAACATTAACACTTTCATTAAATTACTTTTTTTACTAAGGTTTAATAAGGTCAACAATCAGATTTCAGCATCAATGGACAAGGTCATTAATGGAGGCTTTGTCACAAAAATCCCTGCTTACCTGTCACTGAGTCCCGCGGTGGCTCTGCCAGTGTCATCAACTCTTCTGACCCACCAGGAAGAGGAGGCTGCTGCTGCTGCTGCC